CACTTCCAATTCTTTGCTGATTAATTGGAGATAAGCATCTCACAGATTTTCCTGCCTAGGCTGGCTTTGAACCACAGTCCTCAGATCTCAGCCTCCTACGTAGCTAGGATTACAGGCCTGAGTCACCAGCACCCAGCAACAATGGTTTCTCTTCTCCTCTCTTTTTCTCTCTCTCCCCCCTTCTTTCTTTTTTAGGTGGGAAGCGTACTTAAAGTGTCCATTCTTGGCAAATCCCAAGTGCATGGTACAGTAATATTCTGTAGTTACCATGCTGTGTTTTAGATCTCCAGAACTTATTCCTCCCACCTGAATGAAACTTTGTACCCTGTGGAGCCACATTTCCCCATGGTATGGAGTTGAAGTGAGTGAATTCTACACTAAGTGAATGTTCTCCACATAAAGCTGTTAAATACAAAGCAAACACAAAGGACTCATTATGCCATACATTCTTGCACCTTCCTGGCGGCCCTCCTTTTTGATTTAATAGTACAGTCCGTGCAATCGTCAGCAGTCTCTGCGATGCACAGTGCCTCCTTGTGGGTAAGGCTCATTCTTCTATGGATGATGGGCTTTGACTATTTCCAGTGTTTGCTCAGTGTAATGGCACCAGGTGAACATCTGGACTGTATTTCACCCAGTTACTCATTATCTCATTGAAATAACATTACATCACAAACTACACGGTTTAAGATCTTCGACACATACGGTCTAATTTCTCTCAAGAAAGTGCCCAGGGATGCTACCTGGGGCAGAGTGTGATATGAAAGAGTCTGCTGTCACCATTTTATAGAGAATGTGAGCTTGAGGCCACAGGTGTACAAGGCTTTATCCTGGATCAAGTCACTCTACACCCTTGCAGCTGCTCTGGCTGGCTCTGCCATCGCCATTCCTCCTTCATCTTTGGCATACTGGCTCTGGGCCCTGGGGGTGCCGTGGTCCACACCTAGTCTTGGAGCCTGCTCATGAGCCAAGCAGGGAAACAGGCGTCCATAAGAGTACAGTTCTGCAGGCTTTACGGGGTGGAAAAATACTTAACTACAGTCAGCTGTTGCAACTGGGGAGAGGAATGACATGGGGGAAGCTGTAAATAGTTTTATGGCTTATATATTTCAAAAGTCTTGCCAAGCACCAGTGGCTCATGCCTGTCATCCTAGCTACTCAGGAGGCTGAGATCTGAGGATCACAGTTCAAAGCCAGCCCAGGCAGGAAAGTCCATGAGACTCTTCTCTCCAAGTAACCACCAAAAAGTTTTAAGCGGAGATGGAGCTCAAGTGCCAGCCTTGAGTGAAAAATCTAAGGGATAACAACACCCAGGCCCCGAGTTCAAGCTCAGTGCTGACACAAAATTTAAATACATAAGATAAAGTAAGTGTGGCAGAGACATATCTGCCATTATCATGGATAATGTTATCATGGATAAATGTCCTGACTGAAACCAATAGGCTATAAAAAATGTAATTTTGAGGGCTGGGGGTTATAGGTAGAGATCTTTCCTAGCATATGTGGGGCTCTTGGTTTGATTCCCAATACCAGAAAAAAAATATATATATAGTTATATTTTTGAGACAATTAAGGACATTTAATGTGAAGTGAATGTTAGGTAATATTAAGATATTATTATTGTTTGCTTGATGTGATCTAGTACAGATCTTTATTTGTAAATATACACAAAGGATTATTAACAAGTCAAAATCCAATCAGGATTTGCTGCAGAAAAAAAAACAAGCAAAACAAATGTTGAAGAGATTTCTTGAAAGGATTAAATACTGATAATGCTTGACTTGAAATGAGTAGGTTGGGGGAATTGGCAGATTATTTTTGCACTTTTGAAAATTTTCAACACAACCAAAAAAATGTGTGCATGTATATACATAGATTCTCAGACCAAAAAAAGATGTTCTACCAATAATATTTTTGAAGAAAGGAATTCAGAAGCCTCACATTCCCATTTATATTTACAGAGAGACGATGGTTTTTGTAGATGGGTCAAGTTATTTCCGAACATAAGCAAAACATTGCATGTCTGTCCAGTCTTGTCTATGAAAGTGTTTTTGCTTCCCAGAAGGATGAAGGTCTCCCTTTTCATCAACTCAGACTGAGAGGAGAGGAAAAAAAATCTCCATTCCTAGCAACCGCACCTTTCACTGATGCAAAAGATACAGAACAAACATCCAGGTTGTATGCTCCTGTGTTCCCTGGCGACTGGCTTTCCCAAAACAGCATGAGCTTATCAGATTCCTGCTCTCAGCATTTCACAGAAGATGGAAGTTATATCCACCCCACTGGTTACATGCACAGATGCTAGTACCCTGGAAGAAACAGCTTGGAACTTCCCCAGAATCAGTACCTGGAGGACCAACCACATCATAGAAAAGACCCATGTACATGAAGATAATGGATAATGGATGCTGTGTGTCTGGTAAGGTCATCCAGAAGACCCCCAAACACTGCCTAGCCTAGAGAAGCAAAGACTAGACACTGTGGTAGTGACTGAAGGCAGGGCTGGATACACACACACACACACACACACACACACACACACACACACAAAGCAAAACAAAACAAAACTGCCTTCCTGTGTTGTCCACTCTGTTAGGTTTTCATCTTGAGATCAAGGTCAAGGTGAAACTCCCCAAGGGAAGATTTAATCTTACATTCTAATACTTTAGCTGGTTTATCTGCCTTTGGAGCCAGGTGGGAAACAGAGGCAGGGTAGGATATTTCTATTTCTAGAAATAGGAATGGGGACAACTTAAGTGGTTGGAAACAAGCCCCACCAAGGACATGGCTGGTCATACTCTCTGCCAGACAACTATTGCCTTCTGGGTATGGATAGATCTTCTGGATTATTACAGACTGAAGTCCAGGGGACAGTGCTAGGCTCTTCGTACTCTGTAGACAAGAATGCAAGGAAACCACAGGACAGGATCAGGGTCTCTATAGAAATGGAGTGGCAGCTAAAGTAACCAATTATATATATATAGCTTACAATTGAGGGGTTGCTTGGAACATGCGAATTTCAGTGATGGTCTTCCTCCCAGGGCTCAGCACAAACCAATGCGTCTCAGGATGACCATTCTCCCAAAGGGTTTCAGGGTCTAGCCCCCAAAGCAGAGGGGATGGCAGAGGGGATGACTGCTTCAATTGTTTCTCAGGGTCCTGGTATTCATTCACACCACTCCTCATCACAGAGCCATGAACCCCCAAGGACCATGACGTAGATCTGGACCCTGACTCAGGGCTCCTGGTGTCTTAGTGCTAACAGAAGTCTTGATGATGTCATCTTGCCACCAGACAGTAGAGGTTAGTCTGGGGCCAGACATCTTAATCTCAATACTTGAGGGGTTTGCCCTCAGATCTGGGACTTTTACTGGTGTCTGCTTCTCTCTGCCTTTCTTCAGTTTATAGACTTCCTTTGGTATTCTGCCTCGGCTCTGGACTGACTAATTTTAGCTCTAGCCCAGCCCCAGGTAGAGGCTAGCAACTTTCTACACCTGTCCAGGCCCTTTCTGTAGCCCACCTAGAATCGCCCAGCTCTCTGCAGGACCATTGCTTAATGACTGCTTCTCTATTGCTTTGAAAGTACTGGGAAGGCACAGGCTAGATCTGTTCTCATTCATTAAATCCCTTGCATGGGACAGGCATGATTTGTATGCTTGGGAACAAAGGAATGAATGAATGAATGAAAACCTACACAGTTCTTCAATCAGCTCTGCTATTTTCTAGCAGTGAGATTCAGCTAACCCTGTCCTTGACTGTCATTGAACCTCAGTTTCCTCCACAGTTCAATATGTACAACAGACACCTCCTGTCTCAAGGCCTGAAGAGCCCCATGAAGCTAGAGATGCATTAGGAAAAACACCCTGGATGAGACAAAAAACTGCTCCTCCTCTTCCTCTCCCTCCTCTTCCTCCTCCTCTTGTTCTTTCTTCTACATTACTGGGATCATTAAAAATTTCAGGATTGCTTGCATGCGCGCACACACACCAGATGGCTTCAAAGTACACAAGTATTAGTTCGGTTCTCCTGACCTTCCTCAAGAGGGGCCTAGGGAGCATTGGAGAGAAAAAGGGACAGCCTGTCCCGACAGGATCCCTGTGTATGTGGGGGGTGGGGGGTGGGAGGCCAGGCTTGGGTGAGTTCTGGAAGGTTGGGATTTCCTCTCCAGGCCACTTCAGGGTGGACCCCTGGCTCTCTCCTGTGGGTTAGCTGCAAGTGAGACAGGTCTGCCTGGAGCAGCAGCTTCTAGGGCTACCTCCATCTGTGCAGCTAACCTAGGGAATCCCTGCCTCCACGTCCCAGCTCTACAGAAAACCCCAGGTTCAAGTTCTGCCACTGCTGCAGCTACCTGGTTTTGTATGGTTCGTCCTCTCTCCATCTCCAAGGTTTTCTTCTCCTTTCTCAACCAAGCCCTTGGGTTCAGAGAGGGCACCAAACCTGTGGGCCTGAAGTGCGCTGCGTTTTCAGGTTCTGAAAAGAATCTAGTACCCAAAGGGGGCGCATACAGGGTTTCTCTGTGTGTGTGTGCATGTGCGCATAGGTGTATGTATATGTATATACCTATAATATATATTATATAAAGTGTCATTGTGTCACGTGACTCAGATTATCTCCAACCTCACCAGGACTTTTTTTTTTTTTTTTTTAGAAATAAGGAAACTGAGTCAGGAAGCCATCAGCGATCAGCGCTACCCCCTCTCCCCGCCCCCTCCCCAGGGTGGGGCTGGGGGTGGGGGAAGATTCACGCGTAGCCAGTGGCTGATGGGGGTCACGGCCCCTGGCCTTACAGCCGGGATTCGCGCTTGGGAACCGCTCCTCCATCCCCTTCTTCGCGCGCGCCGCCCCCCCCACCCCCGCGCCGTTGTCACGACAACCAGGAGCCAATGGGGAAGCGGCAGGCGGGAGGAGGCCCCGCCCCGGCCCCACCCCTCTCCGCCTGCTCGGGGCTATAAGCAGGACCTGCGAGGCCGAAGGCTGCAGCCGAGCTGGGGGAGCGCGAGGCGGGACGCGCGCGCGCGGAGAACTCGTGGAGCGGAGGGGTGCTGCCCGGAGCCAACGGATCCCAGAAGCCGCAGCCGCCGACATGTGCGGTGAGTGTAGTAGCGTAGCGCCCGCGCTCGGCCCCTGCTCCTCGGGGAGGTGTGTGTGTGGGGGGGGGGTGGCTGTCCCGGGGCCTCGGCCCGAGAGCCTGGCGCCAGAGACCCCTGCTAGGGGCGCGGGGCCTGCGTCCCGCCCGCGCCCCCCCTCCCCGCACCCTGGGCAGTGGTGTCCTAGAGGGTGACGAGGGTGGGGGGGCTTCCATTGTGAGAAGACCCTCCCTCCTCAACACAGAAACTCCCCCACCCCGTGTCCCCCTCCACTTGGCTGGGGTGCGGGGGAGGGGGAGGTCCCCTCACAAAGACTGCCACGCGCGAGCCTGGGTGCGGGGTGTCCCACCCGGGGGCGGGGGCCTCGCGGGACAGGCGGCCTTACCTGCCAGCTCTGGTGACACCCCCCCCCCACACACACAGGGGCACTCAGGGCGGCTTCTGGGGCGCCTCCTCCAGCCCCCAGGTGAACCTCATGGCCCCTGTGGAAAGGCGGACACCGTGCTGGATGAGGTGCCAGGGAGGAGAAGGCAATGGTGGGGCAGCTTCAAGCCCTAGGAGAGGGTGCCTAGGTCTGGGGATCTGGGCATAGTAGATCGGGGTGTGGATGGGGTGGTAATGGTGGGGGGGACACACGTCCAGGATCTGGACATCTGATGGTCATGGTGATGGGGAGCTGTCCCTTTGGGGGCGGGGTGGGGGGGCAGAGCGGAGTGCGGCGGCCACCCTGGGGCTCACATCACAACTCCTTCCTTACCCTCCTGGCTGGGCCCCGGGGAAAGCCGGGAACTTCTGCTGGGACAAAAGGTCACAGTGTTTATTTATTATTCTCCCCCCACCCAACTCACTTCCCCCCTCCTTGAGTAGGATTCAGTTACCCACCCCAGCCCCCTGTGGCTAGAGAACCTGGTGGACGTTTTAAAGACATGAAAGGTTCTCTGAAGGCTGAGGCCAGCCAGGGTGGGGTGTGCCCAGTGGTAAGCCCTGGGCCAAGTTCTGTACAGGCCTTGTTTCGCCCAGGCCAACAGCTCAGGGGGGGAAAAAAAGGAACATCTGACCCAGGAGTTTGGCAACCGAGATGCAGCCTTAACTCGGGCAGTCCAGGCGTCATTTTAAATCCTTGAACCCTTCAGTCAAAGAAAAAAAAAAATCTCAGGACTCCCAAGAGGCGAGGCAAAGGTAGCAGTTTTGTCCTGTGGCAAAGCCTTTCCGGTTCCCAAGTCCTCAGGGCAGCATGAAGGGCCCTTGGTACTCAGGTTGCCTGAACTTCTTGTGAAGGAGATCTTTGAATTGGAGAGGCGCTTGTGCTCTCCTCTCTCAGATTGCACCCCCCTGCCCTTCCCCTTTCCCCCTCCCCCCTCCCCGCCTGCCAGTCCTCCAACCTTCTTCCTATTTGCATGAGCTTTCTCTCTTTTTCTTTTTCTTGTTGTTGTTGTTTGTTGTTTGTTTGTTTTAAGGTACAGGGCCTCAAGATGAGGCCAGTACTCTACTGCGCTACCACCTGAGCCACACTCCTAGCTCTTCCTTTTTTTTGTTTTTTTGCCAGTCCTGGGGCTTGAACTCAGGACCTGGGTGCTGTCCCTGAGCCTCTTGGTGCTCAAGGCTAATGCTCTACCACATAAAGACCACTTCCAGTTTGAGGTAAGAGTTTCATGGGGACGTTTCTGTCTGGGCTGGCTTTGAGTCACAATCCTCAGATCTCAGCCTCCCAAATACTCCTAGTTCTTTCTACGTTAGTTGATTTTCAGATCTGGCCTTGCCTTCCTGAACACAGATCCCTAGTTACACTTTCCTCATAGCTGCTGTGACAGATACATATCACCACTCACGAAGCTTCTGAAGGGCTCAATAACAACTTTGCCCAGGCTGGCCTTGAACCATGATCCTTCACCTCCCAAGAAAAGTAGGACTACAGTCATAAGCCACAGGTCCTGGATTTTGGTGCTGCTTTCTTATAGGTCTGCACATGAATTATCCTTTGGAAAAGATTAAGCTTTCAATGGTAAATAACCTATATCCTCATATCTTTGATACTGATGTGTAGATGAGTGTGAAAAAAGAAGTCTTGAGGTCACCAGAGGAGATCCAGGGCTCAGTCTTGGCCTATAAGGTGCGCATTCAGTGCCAGGATTAAAGAGCATGTGCCACAGTAGGAGGTCTCCTTCTGAGTTTGTGTGCCTGGGAGTGATCCTTGCTACTGCTGTCCTTCCTGACCCTCTGCAGGGATCCACACTGAATTCCCGTCCAGGAAAGTTACTTGGTTTTCAGCAGAGTGGGCAAAAGTCTCCGCTGGGTGCTAAAGTTTCCTTCACACTCTCTGACACTTACCCAGCATCCTTTGTTCAGAGGTGACTGCCCCGGGTTCAGAGAAGACAGCCGTAACCCACTAGGATTGAACAAGTCTGGTCTAGAGTTGTCTGGATCATGGTCCTTGTATGTATGGCAAACATGGTTTTCTTTTTGTGGTTGTTCTCTTTTGTACTGCATTCATTTCGGCTGATGAAAACAGTCAGTTTTCCAGGAAAATTGTAAAGAGATGCTGTTGGTACAAGAGTATAGCAAAAATGATAAAGATGCTCCAACAAACATAACCGCTTTCCTGTACACTGAGGATAACTGAAGCCCAGAGAGGTCTTTAGATACCTGTATCTGAGCAGGAATTGTCCCTGGGCCATGTTTGTCGCTACCATTGGAAGCAAACTCAGGTCTTATATCTCCTGGGCTATTCCCCACGGTGGTCAAGGCCAAAGGCACTTCCTTATCAGCTAGCTAATAATTATGATCAGATGATGTCTTTACTGCTTCTTCCATAGAAAGCCAGAGTCCAACAGGAGTTGGTCATCCACAAATTGAACAGATGCCTCTCAAAACACTGTGCATTTGTGTGCTCACATAACATATGAGACCTGTTGCTATTTGCTGACTTTCCGCCAGTAGGAAGGTTATTCGATTTCCATTTCCTTTTCTCCTTGATCCTTTTTTCCCTTCCTCCTTTCCTTCTGTTCTCTTTCATAAAGCCACTAGTGAAGGGCTGCTTGTACAGAGGGCCTGTGTTTTCCAGGCCTGGGATTTCAGGCATGAGCCACTGGTGCCCAGATTTTCAGTCTTTACCTATCACTTTTTCCCCAGTTCTGAGAAACCTACAAATTTGATAGCTTAGTAGTGGTAAACATCTCTTTGGAATGGAGAGATTATTTTTGTATTTGGCAAAAGTAGTTTTTTTTTATAAGAGGTTAACCGGAAGTTAATAGCAATTTGAGAGAAAAATACAAAAGCAGCTAAACAGTTTCAACTGACCATCTGTCTCTTTTATGTTTCAAAAGAAACATTTCTCACTGAAACAAAAAATTTTGGCTTCTTTTATAGCCATATTTTGGCAGCTGAAACCTGTTATTTTTTTCTTTACAAGTTTTCTTTCCTTGTAATAACAATGGGAGAATATAGTACTTCTTGCGTTATTCTTAGGTAAATTCTAACCTGACACAGGCATCAGGAACTTTCTATTAAAAAAGTATCAGACAGACACTGGCAGCTCACTTCTGTAATCCTAGCTATCAAGGAACCTGAGTTCTGAGGATTGTAGTTTGAGGCTGGCCTGGGCAGAAAGGTTCATGAGATTCTAATCTCCAACTAACCATCAAAAAACCAGTAGAGCTGTGTGGCTCAAGTGACAGATAGAACACTAGCCAGGAACAAAAGAAGCTTAGAGACAATGCCTAGGCCCCGAGTTCAAGCTCCAGTATCTTCATATACACACGCACAAATAGCAATGTCTTATACCATGTTTGTTCCAGAGAGAAGAATGGTACTGTTATCGTGTGTATTTATCTAGTAGTTACTTTAAACCAAGGAGTCCTGAGGAGGCCTGAGGCAGAATAAGACTGGTCCTGGAGAGGCCACGACCTCATCCTGCCTCTGATTCAGGAGCTGGGTGCTGACCTTAGGGCCCTGTGGGCCTGTCTATAAGAACTTGGCTGTGGGACTGCACGTCTGCAAGGCCCCTTCCCCCTCCCCTCTTGTTTCTTTGGCTGGAGGGGGTGGTTGGTGACAGCAGGAATTGTCAATAAAGTGGTCTGCCCTCGTCTTTTGAGAGTGAAGACCAGACAGTGAGAGAGGCCACCATGTCTTCTATAAACCGCTTACTTGCTTTGGTGACCTTTGCTTATCTGTAGGCAGCCCAAGAGAATAGACTTGCCTTATCTTCTCCAGAGGTGGGGGCGAGGTGGGGGGCGGGAAGCAGGGAGAGAGGGAGAGAGGAATTTTGTGAGCATTCACTGAAGCAAAAACCCAACTTGGCCATGTTGTCTTTTTCTTGGGAAAAATCCTAAAGTGGCCAGGCAGGGAGTAATCCAATTTGAATACCTGATCTAGATTAGTCTCATGGACTAAAAACATCAGTCCCTTCAATTCTGAGGACCACTAGGAACACTAGACAGAGGTAAAGAGGAGCCCTGAGTCCCTCCCTGTCCAGCCTGAATCTCTGTCACCCATCTATATCCCCTACTATTCCTCCATCCTTTGTCATCCCACTTGATGGCTAGGACTGCTCTCCCAATTCCCCAACCCTGACCAACCGGTCCAAGGGCATCCCTCCCCTGTGAACCCCAGTCCACGGGCATCCCTCCCCTGTGAGCCCGGGACCCTTGGCAGCACTGTGTTCATGATGAGGTATGGCTGCACAGTCCTCAAGTCTTTGGCCTTGGAGCCTTAGGTGCGTTCTCTAAATCCATGGTGCATAGTCTCTCTGAGGGGGATTAAACAGGATCAGGGTCAGAAAAGGTTGGTGCATGGTCCATTTGTCTAGAAGGTGTCCTCATGCTGGTGAGGGAGGGAAGTGTGGGGGTGGTGCAGGGGGCCAAGCATCCATGTTTTATAGTGTCTTGGGGTGACCTTAAATGCTGCTGGTCACACCCTGACATCATGCAAGGGGTGACCCTGGAGGACCCCAGGCTCAGTGGTACCCACTTTCCCAGTCCATTTATTCTTCATGCGTTTCCAAATGT